CGCAAGGTAGGACGGCTTGATGGGTAGCACAGATACTTAGGACACCTGTTGTTGGACGCCATCTGAGTCTAATCCAGGTTTTAGATGCATCCCAGAATTCCTAGCGATGAGATCCTGCAGATTCTCCAACCTGCTGCATCAAGGAGTGCACTTAGTTTTTTTCTTCTGAATTATCTTTTTACACTCCATGACAGATTTAAATTATTTCCAGGAGGGTGTACTTTCTTTCTTCCATTGCTGAGTCTCATTGCAGAAGCGCCTGCAGGGATGTCGGTTGATTTGGTTTGGTTTGTCATCCGAGAGTAGATGGGTCCAATGAGGGCCTGGGGTACTGTCTAATTCCTGAATATCTATATTTTTAGCTGTGTGGAGATGAACAGAGTCTCTGTCAGCTCTGGGAATGCAAATAAGAACAAAAGTAATTTCAGTTCGGTTGTTTTGAGGGACTCCAGCGCTCCATTAAGGGCTGGGTCTAATCCCTGGGTAGGACATCAGGAAACCCAGGCCCAGTGGCGCAACTGCACATTATTCAGGTGGATGCGAAAACATAAATCGGCGCCCCCCCCGCCCCGAGGCGACGCTACGTGGAGTGTAAAACTCGCTACATGTACCTCGTTATGTGCGAGAGGTGAATGAGCGTGAGGCGCTGAACTGTATGGGAAAACATAATCGGCGCGTCGCCCCCTCCAGACGGGGTTTTGGCGCCCCCTCTGGTGCTGCGCCCCTATGCGTTGCATACGCTGCATACCCACTTTTTGCGCCTCTGCCCAGGCTGATCTGAGAAGAAAGAGATGATACCGAGGAGAAGCTCCTCTTCCTGGGAAGAACCCAGTGAAACCTTAACTCCAAACTGGGGACCAGCATGGTCCTCCAGCTGTCTGTTAAAAAGCTTAAAGAGCTTCTTCTCCCATGGTGACCATCTGTTATCTGTGCCCTGCTGCAGTGCAGTGACTTCAGCAGGCCGGGACTGATCTGGACCAGAACCTGAAGAAAATCCGGTCACGATGATCCGGTTGGACCCAAACCCAGACAGAACTGGAGGTGGAAGGTAAAAAAAAAAAAAAAAGAAATGTTCTTTTCTGTTCACAGTGGGAAAATTCAAGCCCATCAGCACCAAGTTCACATAATTCAGTTCAGTTTATCGTCTCAGGCACTTTACAGAAAATCATCCAGTGCTTAAAGTCCTGTTTTGAAACAAAGAAATATTTATTTTCTTGATTTTGTGTTTTCTTTTTCTGATGGACATTTCTCAAAATGGCTGCCATGGTTGTACTGGAGAATATACATTAGCTATGAAATCAGCAGTAGTTAATACCTGGTCAGGGGTGAGCAGCTGACCAGGTTGGCTACTGGGCGCCCCCTAGCGGACATAGGGGAATTTCTTTTGCGTTTCCTCACAATAAGCAAACACACCCTGGTCTATTTTGTATAGAGTCACAACTGTCAAATATAGACACTTTTAAAGAGCCTCAGTGAAAACATCTTTATATATTTTCAACTCTTTGGTTGAAAATGGGTTTATTCACTGGGTGTTTATGTCTGTTTGTGTAGGTTGAGATGAAAACGGCCCTTTAAATCATTCTGACCAACACAAAAGAGACACATTAGATTTTATTACCCAGTGAAAATGGTCCATATAGTTTGGATTTATTTTGTCTTTCCTTCCTTCTTACAGAAAGTTTCTGTTTATGTCTTAGAAGGGATGAAAAGGGAGAAAACCTTTTGGCCAGTTTGGCCTTTGTATATTGCACATAGACTTGTGGTGCATTTCTATCCTAAAGAAAAATAAAACTTCAGATATCTCACAAATGATGTCAAGGTCGTAAATCCCATCTCATTATTGGGGGGGACCATAAACAGGAACATTTCTTAAGACCAATTTTGGGGGGGGTCAGCAAAGTTACAGTGAAATGTAATTTAAAATGTTTTTAGATCACATTCAAGCTGCAGGACCAAAAATGACTAGTAAATGCACATCAAACGTATTTTTCTCAGTAAGCAAGTTGAGCATGGAGTTAGATTTGTTTCACAATTATTCAATCAAAAAAAAATTCAAACAAAAAAATCTTAAAAACTTTTAATCATAGAAATATTTTTTATGAAACAAAAAAAATCTTTAAAGAGTTTTTTTAAAAAAAAAATTAAAATCACTAATTTTTGTTTGAAACTTTTATTTTTGCATATCAGATTTTTTTGGTTGACAGCCTAAGTTTTTGGTTGAGTCTAAGTTTTCTTTGAAGCTCCTGATTTTTGGTTGAACTCAACATTTCTTGATTAAACAACTTTATTTGCTTGCGAATCTCACATGAACATCCGGGGCGGGGCTTAAGGACGAGCGATGTAAGACGTGTTCCGATTGGTTAGCGCTGACTAAAGCGGATGACTCCCTGAGATCTCAGAACTCTGTCCCGAACTGCAGGGCTTCGGTGACGGGACACAGAATGGGATGGTACGTGATCTTCACAAAATTACACCGTTTAGCAGCTTCTAAAGTGTCCACCCTGTTTCAAAGAAGAAATCTTACTCAACTTATGACGACAGTCACATATTTTGTCTGCTGTGATCCCCGGTAGCATTGTGCTAGCTAATGTTAGCACTAGGTAAAGTTCATAAACTAGGCTTGTGTAATATTCGCCTGTCTTTATGTTGAATTCGTTAACCAGCGCACCTCTGTTGAGTGGCATTAAGCGTGGAAAATACCAAATATATCTGGAGGAAATATGTGTTAAAAACTGTTGCGTAATCCTCCGTGTGTGAGTGTATTAACTAGCATTGAAGCTAAAATGGGAAAACAGCGGATCGTTGCACCATTGTTATTAGATGCACATTAATCTGCACCACACGTCAAGTGACTGTGCAGATGATTTATTTACCACCAAGCACATAATCAGTGCTGTCGATGAGGGGAGGCAACGTAACTCTTAAATATATATTTTCTTCCAGATGTAAAATGTAAAACTAAGCTGGTAGGTCACAGGCCGAAGGAGAGTATTCTCATAATTTCTGTTTTTTATTATTTGGTGGGTGTGTGTCCTGTACTTAGTTTTATTCCGAATTAGATGTAATATGCCTTTTGCTGAGTTATGATATTAAATTAAATTGGTGTTCTCCTAATTCCCCATTCTAGTATGACCAGCAGAGTGCAGCTGAAGCAGGACAGGCTTGTAGGTCTTACTGATTCCTCCAGCTGCTAGAGACGATCAGAGCATGAGGATGGAGAGACCAGCAAGTGTTGAGTCAGAGAAGGTCAGGTAGGGAAGGAAGTGTTGCTTATAGGGGCCGGGTGTGTTTGGCTAAATATATTTCTCCAAGTCAGTTTATTTATTGGTTTTAAAACTAATGCCTCTTCTTCTATGTTACATTTCTTGCATTATTTTTAGTAGATAATCGGCGTACTGTACTGTGTCTGCTGGTGGTTTAAATTGATTTCAGCTACATTCAAAAACGTATTCAGATTTTAACATGCATTTTCTACTTACTATATATTTCAGTTTTACTCTCTCAGTAACTTCTGTGTTACACCTATGCAATATTTTTTTGCTAACTCCCCCCCACCCGAGAGGAAGACAGGTGAGAGGTAAAACTTGCTACATTTACCCTGTGATGTGAGCGTGAGGTGAAGGAGTGTACGGACGCGCTGAAGTGTATGCGAAGACATCATCAGCGCCCCGCCCCCTCCAGATGGGGTTTTGGCGCCCCCTCTGGTGCAGTGCCCCTTTGCGTTGCATGCCCACATTTTGCGCCACTGTTGCTCCTCAGGTCAACCTCAGCGAAGGCTGCTGACCTCCAGCAGGAAACGAGCCGTAATCACTGACAGAACAATCTGTCTGATCCAGAAACGCTCCGGAGTTGAAATAACATAATCTGGACTCACAAACATCAGCAGAAAATAAAATATGCTGACAGCGGAAATGAGACATTTAGCCCAATGTGTGTGTGTCTGTGGGTGTGAGAGAGAGAGCAGCAAAGATGAGGAATCGCATGACTCAGCTCTTCTTATCGTTTATGATTAACAGTTAATTTGGGTGAGTGGCGGTGTGTGTGTCTGTCAATGTGTGTGTGTGTGTGCTCACACAGCTGTCTTTGTGGCTCCGTGACGTTCAGTGGAGCAAAGTGAGAGGAAAGTTTCCGGGACATTTTCCATCAGCGGGGACGTCAGAACGTCGGGACTTTTCATGATGTCGGGTCACCGTTACGTTCCAAGTTTGTATCGTTCTTTTGAAAAAGCGGTGAATAAAATCTGAGATCTGAAGGCGTAAGCTTTAAAAAGCTTGAACAAAGTCGAGGAGCAACCTGAATGCAGCGATGCCTCTGATCCCTTCAGTAAACCAACGTATCCCAATCCGCAAATCACACTAAAGTTAGTCTTACTATTTCTGTCATTGTCCTTCCTAAAGAAATGTGCTTTCCTCCTGCGTCTTGGTGAGTTACACGTGCAAAGAGTGTCAGCAGGAGCACGACGACGTAAAACATGCATCAGGCAACAACACACCATAAACGGCAACGCAGGAAACTGAAATGTGTCGTCAGGTTAAAGTTCGCTGGAGTCAAAGTGCAGCTTCAGAAACGCTGCAGCAGGAAAACCTAAAGACGACGGATCGGTAGCAGAAATAAATCCAGAAGGTTCTGGATGTTCCACCGGGTCAGAACCATCATCACCCTGAGCTGAATATTCTGGAGAAAATCTGGAAAAATGTTTAAACTGGGAAGGCATCAGGACTATAACTGGGTCGGGTAAAGTCCAGGGTTCTGTGATCCGGTTCGACTGACTGTGGGTTCTGGTGGACAGGAGGTCCAAACAGGACCGGTTCTCAAATGCAGACCAAAAACTTTGTCTCGATGCGTTGGTTCAGTTTTTCTGCCAGAACCCGGACTGAAAAACTGCTGAACAACCAGCGGTCCTGGCTAGTTAATGGACAGCTTTGGTCTCCATTACTTAGCCAGAGCCCTTGGTGGGAGGGGCTAAGTCATGTGATCTCCCACAGAAACAACCAGACAAGTTTTCTTCTTTACATTTAGTGAAATCACACAAATATACAAACTGAGCAAAAGGCAATGATAGAAAAACAGACGGCGGCCATTATGAGGCATCGACGTTCAAATCAGCAAAACCACAAGAAAAACAAGGCAATGGCGAATGGAACCAAAGATGGGCCCCGACTATTTCCTGGACTTGGCTGCACCTCGGGGAATAAAGACGTTCCCAGGAGGAGCGACAGATGGCCTGATGGTGGCGCTGTGACCCGCAGGCAGCCAATCAGGTGCTAGAACCAACATCACCTGATAAATGGCATCACAGCAGCCGGGTCAGCTGGCTGAAACAGGAGAGGAGGAGCTTCTGATGTCAGAGTTCACCTGAGGGAAATCGACCAATCACAGGCAGTGCTGCAGCACAGAGGAGGGGGCGGAGCCTGAAAGCTACCCTCCCCTAACCAGAGACACCAGGTACGGTCTTGCTCAGGTGTTTGGATCCCCTCTGCTGGCTCCGCCCTCCTCTTCGTCAGGACGAAGAGTCCGGAGCGGTTCTGGACATGATGGCGGTCCATCCCCCAGGTGGGACACGAGATCGCTGCTGACAAACATCTCCATCCTCCCATAATAAATAAAATCCATCACAAAAATAAATAAAATAATAAATATCCCACCACTGAGTGTCTGTGTGACTCGGGCCGGGTCTAATTCCTGGAGTCTGGGCTAGGAGCTGCCAGCTCCAGTCCTCCAGGTTCTAGAAAACCTGGATTAAATGGTCCGCCATCCAGTTCAGCAGAGGTCCCCGTTGTAGACTCCAGGAATTAGACCTGGCCCTCCCAAATAGGAATCCCAGAGAATCACTGATCTGCCTTGAAATCTGCTTATGAAATGAGGCTCATGATTGGTTAGCTTGTTACCAAGGAGACAGAATGTTTCCTTCATGAAGTTCAGCAGGACGCGGAGAAGTTTGGTGGTCCAGATCTGATCAGTGATTGGCTGGTTTTTCTGCTCAGACACCCAATGGGGGGCGAACAGTGGTGCTGGTACGCTAGTGGCTTCAGAGCCCGACCTGTGCTACCGACACAACGCAGAACCCGCCCTCCATCTGGTCCTTTTGGGTTCACACAGATTAAACGGCTTCAGCTGAGCTGCAACATTTCACACCAAGCACCTGGAGGTCAGAGGTCATCCAGAGGTCACCTGCTCCACCTGTAACCGTCTGCAGCTGCTGTTCCCAACCCGACTGCCAGGGGGCAGCAGCTGCTGCAAACGAACCTAAACTCCAACATTTATTCTCATTATAATAAATTAAACATTAATTAAGATTTAAATTTTCATCTTTTTTCCCAAACATCAGTTCTGAAACTCGACCTGAAGGAAGGAAGTCCACTGGGTTTCTGGACCCGAGTGGAAACGATTCAACTGGAACAGAACCGGAACCAGATTCTGGTAGAACCAGCTGTGCTATCTGACATCGGAGAGCAACCGGACCTCTGAGCCGGCCAGAACCAGCGCTGTGATGTGTAAATGTTCCAGAACACAGATGGAGCGTCTCCTGCCAAGTCTCAGGCGGTCCAAACCCGGTTCCCGGACCGAGCCATTAAAAAACCTGCTGAGCTCCGGTTCTGCTCGTTAAAAAAGTACCAAAACGCCCGTTTGGATCTGTAGAGCAGGATTGTTGTGGCTCGGTCCGAGCCGGTCTGCAGGGTTCTGGGCCTGTCGGTACCGTCAGACTCGGATGTAATGTTCCACTTTATACAAGTTCTGGTCCATAAAGTCCACAAGGTTCTGATTACATTTGAACATTTTTTAGATTTTATCATTTGAGCTTCATTTTTCTTCTTCTTTACAATTATGGCCACAAGTCTCAAAAGTTCTAGGAATCCGGCCCGGTTCAGCTCCACTCTCGGTTCTGGACCGGATTTGGTCCAAGTCCGGTCCAGTCCTGAGGGAGTTCTGGTCGGGTCTTTGCATGGCACTAGGTTTGTAGCTCTGCACAGTATTTCCCCATCGGCGCCGTTAGCATGGCTGTGTGTCCAGTCCGGATTGGGTCCAGATCCCAGGTGATTCTGGTTCTGACCCGGACAGCGTTGCTGTGCTGGAATGTATTCAGAGGTTCTGTCCACAGTCTGGTTGGTCAGGCAGTGCGTCCTCCCGGCCAGCGGACTGACCAATGAGGAGCAGGGGGCGGGACCGGGGGTCCGATCGGATCGGGCTCAGTGTGCTGCGCTGATTGTTCACAGAACCGGAACAGAATCGACACCTGACGTTCGTTTTGGCTCCGCCTCCTTCATTAAAGCTTCAAACTGTCCAGAATCCGATACTTGTTCTGGATCAGAACCGGATCGCTGTGAGGTCCAGATGAACCCCGGTTCTGATCTGGAGGGCCGGGACGGGCTTCTGTTACGCTTCACTTTACATCCTGAGCTCAGTCAGTAGCGGTTCCGATCCAAACCGCCCTGGTTCTGCTGTAGAACCTGTTGAGGTCCGGCTGGCTCCACGAGTCTCAGGAAAGGTTCTGCCCGCTGGGTTCTGGGTCCAATCAATCCATCTGACCAATAAATCAATTGACAGACTGACTGCTGGTGATTCGGTCCGGTCCGGTCCGGCTGTTCAGCAGAACCTCATCCCCCACAAGCCCCGCCCCCCATCGGTCCGGCGCCGACTCTCAGCTGCTGCCGGACATCAGGTTGATGGCTTGGTCCAGTTTGTGTCTCAGCTTGTGTTTCCGACAGTAACCGTCCCGGTCCAACGCCGTCAGGATCTGGAGACACAGAGAGACGGAGGGATGGAGGGACGGAGGGACGGAGAGACGGAGGGATAGACCGGGTCAGGAGTTATTCGGTTATCCACCCGTAATCAAATATTGAAAACCAGATTTAGCAAAGTTTTCCCAGGTTTTCATCTTCCCAGCCTCGTTTGGACCGACCGTCTGCTGATGGGTCCAACATGGTGGACCCATTGTAGTTGTATCAGGAGGCATCAGAGTCAGTTCTGGTTCTGTTTGACCCGGTTTAAAAGGCTCATCTAAAGCGACATGAAAATCCTGATGACTGGAGCTTTGAGGCCCAGTGAAGAAAACAGTGGACATCATTTAGATATAAAGTCATGTAAAACAAGCGTTAGGTAGTAAAATATTCACTCTTATCCATTCAAAAATAGAAAACTAGTTGAAACCCAGCTTCTAAAACATCCAGAACCAGAACAGATAAAAACATCCAAACTGGTCCTTCTGGTCCTGCCTGACTTTTCCTCTGGATGAAGCAGGAAAAGCCTGGAGGGAGTCCTGGGCTGTGAACCCAAGTAGGAGCTCCACACGTTCCTGATCAGCTGGAGGTCACACATCAGGCTCTTTAAGGAAGTTTTGGCAGGAGACCAAAAGCCTCTACATCTTTCTTTTTGGAAAGTACAATCATGGAATGAGGACCAAACTGAAGTTTCCCAGGAAAAGCTGTGAAACCAAGAACTGCAGAAGAAGGAAACAACAGCCTCACCTCTTCCTTGTACTTGTTGATGTAGAAGTAGAGTTCATTGAGCGCGCTCAGTGTGTTGAACTCGTTGCCATGCAGACGGGACTGCTCCACCAGGTAGGCGTCCATGTCCTGGTCGCTGATGCTGGGCATCTTGGAGATGTCCCTGTAGTACCTTCATGACAGACAGACAGGTGAGACCGGTCCGGAACCGAAACACCAGCTTCTGGTTCCGGACTGAACAATCTGGATCTGTTCAGCCAAACAGATTTTAGACTTTTCAAATGCCTTTGAGGATTTGTGGACTAATCATCTGTTTTGAGTTTCTGAAAGTAACTGAATTTCTTATAAGAAGCCACATTTTCCAATGAAATCTTCAAAAACCCAACAATGAGAGCAAATCAGCAGCTTCCAGCTTTAGAGCACTATGGATGAAATCTGAAATGAAAAACTGCTGAAACAAGTCTCAAAGTGTCTTCCTGCCCCTGGTGAAGGTGGGGCACTTTTCCCTCTCCTGCCTCCCCCATCTGCGCTGCTTTTGCTATTTTTTTTCGGGGCATCTCTTTGCATGTCCTCCAAATTGTAAATTATGGGTCTGGTCAACTGGGGCCTCACGCATAAAAGACTGCGCAGTTTTCACACTAAAACTTGGGAGTACAGAGGAATGTAGAAAAATGCGGTGCACAAAAGAAGTCGGATGCATGAAGCCGTGCGCACGTGGTGGCGCACCTTTCCTTTATTAATCCTAATTTACAGGGACCAGAGCAGCTGCTGCTCCGCCTGTCGCCTCCATAAATACATATTAATGTAAATTAGTATAAATACCCAGAAGTCTGCCGCCACGTGAAGCCGTAACCATGGCAACGGCCTTGTTTGTAGCGGGTTTTTTTAAAGGTTTTGTTGGCTCTACTGGCCTTTATTTGAAAGTAGTTCGACAGGAAAGAGGGAGATGAGCGGCAAATGTCACCAGACCGGGAATCGAACCTGTGACCTCTGGCATGAGGACCAAGGCCTGAATATGGGGGTTGTGCTTTGCCCCTGCGCCACCACAGCACCCCCATTGTGTGAAGCAGTCTAAGTATTTATAATAATACTTATATATTTTTCTTTAAAAGTTGCTTTGAGGGCACATACTGTCACCTCACAAAATAAAAATACATTTTAAAGAAAAAAAAATCAAATTTAAAAAATAAAAATATCCTGCAAATGCCTGTCTGAACAGCAGCAAAGCTTTCAGCCCGGATTTAAAGACGGAGTCTCTGAGTGGGAAACTGGACGTTTATTCTAAAGAGGGGTGTCCAAACTTTTTGAGACCAAGATCTACTTTTTCTCTCACCAGCCGCCTGAGATCTACCTCAGGACACACAGACATAAAAATTGCAAATTAAACTCTCGACTTATTTTATATGCAAATATCCATCAGTTGTAGCAGAAATAATAAAGTGGCAGAAAACCTGATCCAGTTTCTTCCTCAGTGAGATTCTGACACTGGGAGCAGGTTACTGGTTTCTCAGTCAGAAGCTGGTTTCAGACCTGATGCCAGCAGGTCAGTCAGTCATGGTGGATCTGAACTTTGGTTTGATGACTGAAATGTGAGAAACTACAGACTGATAGGAGGAACCAGAGAGCCCAGTAAAGGTAAAGGCAAATCTTCTGAAGTCGGGACATAATTCATTTAATTTCACATAATTATCGTGGCAGAGATTACTTTAAAAACACAACATTCAGTCCGTTACATATCAGGTTTCCAGGCTTGATATTTATTCCTCGATTATTAATAAGCCTCTCATGGACACAGCGCTGGTCGAGCAGCTCATTTAAACTCCTGCTCTGCTCTGTTGCCTTTTTTTCTCTTTTCTTTGTTAATGGGACCAAAACACCTTGTTGAAACAATAATTACTGAGATTGTTCATTTTAACACGTTTCGTTGATTTTTTATTCTTATTCTTTTTTAATGAAGCTACAAACGTTTAGGATCTTGGTGAATATTTTTGATAAGCCCGTCAGAAGAGGAAGTGCTGCTCTCAGCTTCCTGGTGGCGATCAGATTGTCACCTGCTGAGATCGACTCAGAACCTTTCCGATCGATCGACGTATTGAGCACCCCTGATCTAAATAGTAGAATCATGTGCATAAGTTGTACATCTGCAGAATAAAGATGCTTTATGTCCATAAGGCGCATTGACAAAGCGGGCGGCTCGACTGAAGAATGACTGCAGCTGGACTGGTACCGGTACCACACGGCTCCTTCTTTAGGTTTTGCTCAGACTGATCATTCTGGAGCTCTGAACAAAACCTAAAGAAGGAGCTGTGCGGTACCGCTCATAAACCATCATCATCATTTCCCAGCAGATCAATATGATCTCTGATCAATCCTCGCTCTGAAACCTACCGTTGTTCTCCATCAGAGCCAAAGCTCCACAATTACACGGCTCACCTTCACGCAGCTACTTGTATACGTGTGATTGCATACACACCTTAAAAATAATCAAACATGTTGATTACATTTCTATAGATGCCATCTTGTACGTAAAATATGGTGCCACACATTTCTTATGCGCACGCCGTGTTATGCATGAGGCCCCTGGTCTTTCAGCACAGTTGACCAAATTTTCTGGAGAAGACGAGCGGTCAAAGCAGAGCCGTCTGGTCCGATGGGACCCATGCAGCTGGAAGCACCGTGGACCGGGTGTTTGTCTGTTATTCTGGCGCCTCCATGATGGCTCCAGCCTCAGGAACCTGTCTACCCATGCCTTATGTTGTCTTTTTTTGTTCTTTGGATGGGCTGCACTCAAACATACTTGATTGTGCTTCTTTGTACACAACAATAAAGACTGATTGTGAAAGTAAAGCCGTACACAGACAATGTTGTTTCAATAAAGAAGAAACTAAACGTGTACATGACCCATCTGGTGACCTCTGATGGTTTGTTACCTGAACTCACGTCTCATCTGGTTGTGGAGAAACTATCAATGAAGTGTTTCATCTAATTCTTCTAAAGTTTGGGCTGCGAAGCTGTGAAACATTAACATGTGAAAAGCCCAGAGAAGACCAAGGTAACTGCTTTTCTACCTCTCCACCCAGCTTTTGTAGTTGGGGATGTCTTTAGCATAGAGCAACTTGTTGGACGGTGAGTCTTTGCCGAGCCGATGTTCGGATGTCGAGCACGAGTCCATGAAGGTCTGCGCCACCACCGACAGGCAGGCGTCTGTGATGCTGCTCTTATGGATGTCGAAGACGAACTGTGGATTCTTAATGACGTTGACCCAGAACCTGAGAGGAAGACTGCATACCGCACAGAGGCTTACTCAGACGGAACCTAGGAAGATGTTCAGGGACAAAATTCATGGGTTCTTGGCTCACCAGTTGCTCTTCCAGGTGTGCCGGACATCTGGGTCGGTGATTGACCGTTTGTCGGCCTGCTCGTCCAAAAAGTCGAACATGTATTTAATCGCCAACGGCAGTGCAGAGCCACGATGGGCCGTGCTGAACACAGTCTCAAAAAGGTCGTCCACAAACTTCTGCAGCGTCCCCTGGTGGTGGAAGGACCAATGTATCATTTAAGAGTCAGAACGATGATGAAATATTTGACATCAAAAGTCGAAATTAGAGATGTGCTGATTAGGTTTTTTCCTGCTGATTCTGATCACCCATGAGGGCCGATCACCGAAAACCAGTGGCGCAAAAAGTGGGTATGCAGCGCATGCAACGCAGAGGGGCGCCGCGCCAGAGGGGCGCCGCGCCAGAGGGGCGCCGCGCCAGAGGGGCGCCGCGCCAGAGGGGCGCCGCACCAGAGGGGCATCAAAACCCCGTCTGGAGGGGGCAGCGCCGATGATGCCTTCACATACACTTCACCGCCCCCTTACGCTGCTTCACCTC